TAATAGAAGAGGTATTATACCCCCCTCTCCAGTGTCCCGTGTCTCCTACCTCCCCTCCGTTCCCTATAATAGAAGAGGTATTATACCCCCCTCTCCAGTGTCCCGTGTCTCCTACCTCCCCTCCGTTCCCTATAATAGAAGAGGTATTATACTCCCCCCTCCAGTGCCCTGTGTCTCCCTCCTCCGCTCCAAGCCAAAGAGGCATTGGAATTGCACTATCCGGACTGCAAATGACAATCTTGCACAGCGCAGCCTGCAGCAGCTTCAGTAGAGAAGCAATGCATGCACATTTTTATTAAACTCCTCCCACAAGACATTAGAATCAGGCAAAACCTTATACTGAGGTGTATACTAATTATATAATTTTCTCCCGTTATTGTTTCAAGTGATAATTCCCATATTGCTGTATTTCCCCTTCACAGAGAATGAGAAGAGGATCAGCCTGCCGAGGATCCCCACTCAGTAAGAACAACAATATGATGTAGAATCGATGTGTGTCTTGTACAATCATTGAACGGGGTCTAAGTAGATTCATCATCCATGTGATTGTTCAGTTGTATGTCATGCTCCTTGTGTGCGGGACAATCTGAGACGAACAGTCCCCATTGGTCGAGGTATTTCAATGTCATGTTTGGAGAATCTTGCTGAAAGTATCTCACAAAATCAAAATCGTATGAACATTGACTTGTGTGTGGCCAGTCTGGGAGCATCTCAGTTCTTCAATGGGTCCTTTTCCAAATGCTCGCTAGGTGGCAGTGCAGCACCCAGTAAAAACTCCACAGTACCCAAATTTCTCATAGTCAAGTCAATAGCAACGCAGCAAAATGCACGTAACATTCGATTTGATGCATTGGCAACAGGTATTAACAAGCCTTGGGAGGGATCCCGAGATGGACTATAATCTCAATACAGATTAGTAAACTAAACATGAGAAGGTAGTCCATCCCGGGAGTGAGCTTGGTGCAGTGACTACTTTAAAACACACACAGGGACCATGGGGAACAGACGTAGCCCCCCTCCAGAAGGAAGGACAGTGTCAGCACCAATTCAGAGGTGATTGGAGGATCTACAGCCGAGTGATACACAAATAAGATACATTGTTGTTCAGAGTTCAGGGACTTGGATGTATTTTTAAGAATTAACTCCTGAGTATAGTGTGACTTTAAGACTAAGCTCCATCACCAGTCATCTACCTGTCCAATGAAAGTGCCCTTATTGGCTGCTAAGGCACTGTTCTTGGACAGAAGGATGGAACTTGCTGGGGCTTAGTCCATAAGGTAAATATGTCAGGCCTCTGATGGCAAAGTGAAACTTGTTTTAGAGTTGTCCTTAAAGTGACATTAAACCCTCAGATTTTTTAACATAAACCAATACTGTAATGTGCGCCTTACTGTAATCCATGGTAGTTTCCCTTCTCTTTGCTGCTCTTCCTTTTAAATCCTCATGTCTTCTCATGCTTGGGGAGAACTTTCCTTTGCAGCTGACTGCCTCTTCCTGTAGTGCTGGCTCAGGTTGTGAACCTGCACACAGACACCATGCATCCATTCCTGAGACAAGGCAGTCTGCTGCAAAACAGAAGTTCTGCAGAGCATGAGAAGCGATGAGGATTTAAAAGGAAGAGCAGCAAAGAGAAGGGAAACTACCATGGATTACAGTAAGGCGCACATTACAGTATTGGTTTATGTTAAAAAATCTGAGGGTTTAATGTCACTTTAAGTGATCTCATGGTATAGCTAGTTCAACTGGACTTGTTCTGTAATGTTGAAGATATTCCTTAGCTTCTCCAAGACACGGCTTCAGTTCTAATGAGTGACAAGAACATACAAGTAGCCCAGACACCTCAATCCAATAGAATATGTCAAGACAGATGTTGATTGTCCAAGAACAAGATGGGAGGTTGTGAAAGTTGTGGAACCGCCTTGTTCTAGCGACAAAGTCCCTTCCTTCCTTCCATTCATTCTTGGAGCCTGCATAGGTACCAATCATCCAATTCACATGTCTGAAATTGTGCATTGTTGTAAAAATTGCCATGGTAGAATTAAAACAGATGACAGATGGAGTCGAAGACCCCCACCCTTGTTCAGAAATGGTTGTTCCCGTTTGACTTGAATGGCCTTTTCTCACCTCTTGCAAACCAGTTGTCCTTTTGGTCCAAAATGTGCCCCTCACTGTTCTCGAAAGAAGATAATTCCGTTTCCTTATGGTGTAGGAAAACTGCTGAGTCCCTGAACTGCTGTTTCCCGAACCCCCTTCTATGCCTGTATCCCCCAATTAGTCATAAAATAGCCAAAATATAGGCTTAAGTATGTGTCTGGTAGAAATTGTCTGGTCTCAGACACATGAATAGGTTGTGAACCTGCACACAGACACCATGCATCCATTCCTGAGACAAGGCAGTCTGCTGCAAAACAGAAGTTCTGCAGAGCATGAGAAGCGATGAGGATTTAAAAGGAAGAGCAGCAAAGAGAAGGGAAACTACCATGGATTACAGTAAGGCGCACATTACAGTATTGGTTTATGTTAAAAAATCTGAGGGTTTAATGTCACTTTAAGTGATCTCATGGTATAGCTAGTTCAACTGGACTTGTTCTGTAATGTTGAAGATATTCCTTAGCTTCTCCAAGACACGGCTTCAGTTCTAATGAGTGACAAGAACATACAAGTAGCCCAGACACCTCAATCCAATAGAATATGTCAAGACAGATGTTGATTGTCCAAGAACAAGATGGGAGGTTGTGAAAGTTGTGGAACCGCCTTGTTCTAGCGACAAAGTCCCTTCCTTCCTTCCATTCATTCTTGGAGCCTGCATAGGTACCAATCATCCAATTCACATGTCTGAAATTGTGCATTGTTGTAAAAATTGCCATGGTAGAATTAAAACAGATGACAGATGGAGTCGAAGACCCCCACCCTTGTTCAGAAATGGTTGTTCCCGTTTGACTTGAATGGCCTTTTCTCACCTCTTGCAAACCAGTTGTCCTTTTGGTCCAAAATGTGCCCCTCACTGTTCTCGAAAGAAGATAATTCCGTTTCCTTATGGTGTAGGAAAACTGCTGAGTCCCTGAACTGCTGTTTCCCGAACCCCCTTCTATGCCTGTATCCCCCAATTAGTCATAAAATAGCCAAAATATAGGCTTAAGTATGTGTCTGGTAGAAATTGTCTGGTCTCAGACACATGAATAGGCAGCAAAAATAAATATTCTGTAAATTAGACTGTATTATTTGAGAGACAATAGCCATAAATATTGTTCAGTGGCTGGGCAGTATGAAAGCAGCTTTGTTAGGCCGCAATATAAGGCGGAGAGACGAGACAGGTTTTATGTTGAAATAAATGTTAGTACAGCTACAGAAACATTGTGCGGCAGGTTTACGTTGTATGTGCATTATATTTGTATTAATATGTGTATTATATGTTCGAATTCCAGGGTTTCCCTGGAATTCAGCTTTAACATAAATTTGAATGTTCTCATGAATAATGCAGAACTATATGTTGCTGTGCAGGGATGTCCCTGATGAGAGGAGGTCGAGGCTGGAGGAAGGGGGCAGTTTTGGTGAGTTATCTTGTAGACAGGTTCTCTCTTCCTTTGTCCCACTGATAAGAAGACACATCCATCCTGTGAGAACGGAGGTGACAACTGTAATCCATCTTGTTACAGAATCTGATATCTATGCGGAGATTCCAGAACAGTCGGAACAGAGGTCTGCAGGTACGTACAAGAAGTCTCAAACTTGTGAGCAGCATTGGAAAGATGAAAGTGATCCCCTCTGAATGTGTTCCTGCGCCATATAGAACAGCCAACCGACTCCCAGACAGATATAGAATAGAAATGTTGACGTTACTTCAGATAACAAAATAATAAACACTATATTGCAAAAGTATTGGGACGCCGGCCTTCACACGCACATGAACTCTAATGGCCCCCCAGTCTTAGTCTGTAGGGTTCAGTATTGAGTTGGCTCCGCCCTTTGCCGCTATAACCGTTCTGCCTCTTCTGGGAAGGCGTCCACAAGGTTTAGGGGTGTGTCTATTGGAATGTTGGACCATGTGTGAGGTCAGGTACTGATGTGGGGGGAGAAGGCCGGGCTCGCAGTCTCCGCTCTAATTCATCCCAAAGGTGTTCTATCGGGTTGAGGTCAGGACTCTGTGCGGCCAGTCACGTTCCTCCACCCCAAACTCCCCCATCCATGTCTTTATGGACCTTGCTTTGTGCACTGGTGCGCAGTCATATTTGAACAGGAAGGGGCCATCCCCTAGCTCCTCCCACAAAGTTGGGAGCATGAAATTGTCCAAAATGTCTTGGTGTGCTGATGCCTTAAGAGTTCCCTTCACTGGAACTAAGGGGCCACACAAACAATCTATAGCCGCCCGAACGCTTGTATGGCACGGCTGTTTAAAATGTTTACCATATCCTACTGTCTGGCCCTGCCCCCGCCCCCTACTGCGCACGAGCAGGAAAAAAAACTCTGTACATGTAGGGTGACCCTTTTTTTAGAGAGTGCTGTCCGTCAGTCTATGTAGAACGGGCGGACGGCAAGTAAACAGGCGAAGAATATATTACAGTTCCATACAGTAGATGCATCAGATGAAGAAGTTATTTTTAGGGGGTTATTCACTAAAGAGCCGAAGGATCCAGCTGTAGCTTCGGCTGATCCTTCGGCTCTCTTTTCTGCCGCCTCTGCAGTTCAGTTCAGGTTGCTGTACGCGATATTCACAATATTCACAATAGCCCGTACAGCAACCGAAGGCGGCCGAGCGGCTCAGCCGAGCCGAAGGCATATGCTTGGCCTCGACTGATCCGAAGTGACAGCCGAAGCGTGGAGAAAGGTCGGCCGAAGCCGACCGATCTCCACGCATAGAGCAGCTGGGCGATCTCACGGCTGGCTCCGCCCAGTTTTAATCACAGTTCAGCATCCCCAAATGACCCGGGGACGCTGATCTGTCATTAAACAATAACTGGGGCGGAGCCGGCTGTGATGTCACGGCAGGCTCCACCCAGTTGTTATACATTGGCCTGGACCTGCTAGAAGACTCTAGCAGGTGCCGGCCAATAGGAAACAGTTGGGCAGAGTTAGCTGTCACCGCTAGCTCCTCCCAATTGTTTTTCTTTTCTCTAAAATATTTTTCTTTTATTTTTAATTTTCCTATTTTTTTTATAATTTTAAAAATAATTTCTCAACTTTTTTATCCCACTCTTTTCAATGGTTTTCTATTATGCTCGGTACCACGGAGGTACCGAACAGAATAGCCGGGCCGAATGCCGCTGCTAGCTCCACCCAATTGTGTTTTTTTTTTTTTAAAGAAATCTTTATTTATTTTTTTAGATGTATCATTTATTTACATTTGTAAAACATTGTTTTTCTACCAAGCAGAATAGCCGAGCCGGCATTCGGCTATTCACTCACTGACGTTCGGCCCCTATGGCAATAGGGGTGAATGGCAGCGAGCGAGTTGCCGTCGCTCCGGCTTAGCCGATCCAGATGTTGGATCGACTGAGTGGAATTCCTTCTGCACTTCACTGCAGAGCCTGTTCGGCTGACCAAAGGCAGCTGGAGGCAGCCGATATACGGCTGATTTTAGCTGATGTACGGCTGAAATCAATCGTACGAGGCTGAAGTAAATACCCGAACGGTGTTCGGCTCACTTCACTTCGGCTCGGCTGTTCACTCGGCTGCCTTCTGCAGCTTTGTGAATAACCCTGTTAGTCTCATTAATGTTTATAGCTATAAAGGGCTGTTTTCTGCCACCTTGTGGTTGTGGTCGGTATTGCAGTTTGTTTTTTGATCACTCAATTTAAAGGAGAACTATGGGGTCAGGGCTTTTCCCCATAGCTCTCCTTAGGGTAACGGGAGGACACAAACTAGCGTCCTCCCGTCACCCTAAGCTCAGTATATAGGGAGCTACAGCTCGCGGTATACTGAGGCGCCGCAGCTGAAGCGGATCCCGACAATTGTGCCGGGATCCGCCCAGCTGCGTGAGTGACAGCTGGCTCTGCTTATCTAGAGGCAGAGCCAGCTGTACCCGCCCCCTCCCCCGTCCGATCCACCAGTCAGCGCTGGAGGATCGGCGCGGGGAGGGGGGAAACCAGCCCCTCCCCCTGTCATGGCAGAGAGCCGTGACAGGATCGAGAGGTGAGCGAACGCCGGTATATGTTCGCTCACCTCCCCCTCCACTGACCCGCCCTGCGACAGTCTCATTGTCACAGGTCGGCTAGAACTATGAGGTGAGTGAAAAGCGCTCACCTCATAGTTCTCCTTTAAATAGATTAGTATCGTGTCTTTGCTCGGCTCAGGAAGCCGTAATTGACCATTTTTTGCCACAGCAACCATTAATTTTCAGCAAAAACCACCCGATTGTGAAGAAAACAGTCACATGGCACAAAATAGTGATTGTTATGGCAAATGACTCACATTTTAGCTCAGTGAATTGGGACTAATGCCCCCTGAGTACACCGGCCTCGTATTGTTCGTGGGGTCACCGTTCTGCGTTGATCACCGGATCTCTATAATATGAATTTGTGACGCCTTGCTTGTCCTTGTAGGGATTCGTTACGCGATCAGTCGGGATGACGTTGTGCTGGGCAGGATCCTTGGCGAAGGCTTTTTTGGAGAAGTGTACGATGGTGTATATAAGAATCAGGCGAGTATCTCCATTGAGGAAGCTACAGAATGGACATGTACTGTACGACTCTCCATATGTGTATGGAGCTGATATGTTTATACCTGTAAAAAAAAATCAATTAAGGCAACTGGACCTGCTGTATTCTTTTCTTGAAGACGTCTCGCCGGTCATCCAACCAGCTTTCTCAATTCACAATGACTTGTACAAAAATTATCTGGGAATAGATATGGTGAATGTCGCTCCAATCCACATAATCTGATGATCATAACCAGCACGGGGGTCAGAGACCTCATGGAGGTAAGGTGCTGATTGCATTGCATGATTGGAGCTAGCAGGTGTTATTAAGATGCCCACAGCAGCCTAATAACAGCTGCTAGCTCTGAAGTGAGAAAGCTGGTCGCATGACCAGCAAAACGTCTTCAAGCGCAATACAGCAAGTCCAGTTGTCTTGATTTATTTTTTACAGATATAACATGACCTGGAGGAATGAGAACCTTCACAGACACTTGGAATTCTTAGACTTCAGTGAGCCTATGATTGCTAGAGGGAAGGGTGAAGGGAAGGACGGAGGTCAGATATAGGATTCAAGGGGAGGACGGAGGTCAGATAGAAGACTGAAGGGAAGGACGGAGGTCAGATAGAAGACTGAAGGGGAGGACGGAGGTCAGACAGAAGACTGAATGGAGGTTGGAGGTCAGATAGAAGACTGAAGGGAAGGTCGGAGGTCAGATAGAAGACTGAATGGAGGTCGGAGGTCAGATAGAAGTGAATTTCGTGTTCTCTTTGTAGAAGGGGGAGCGGATCAGCGTTGCGGTGAAGACTTGTAAAAAAGACTGCGCAGCGGACGTCAAGGAGAAGTTCATGAGTGAAGCCTGTGAGTACAATGTGACGTTCGGCCTTTAGATAAAAGTCTCCTAACATGACACCGTGTACAGCGAGAGTGTAATATCATATAATACTCCACCAATAAGAATCCGTCCTCCATCTGCACCCAGTGACTGAGCCTCGGACTTCTTCTCATCACCTGTCTGCTTCCCTCTCTTTGTACTTTGTTTCTTCTCTCAGATCTGATGAGGAATTTGGACCATCCGCACATAGTGAGACTCATCGGCATCATCGAACAAGACCCAATCTGGATCGTGATGGAGCTCTATCCGTATGGGGAGGTAACCGTTCATTCTATGCCGCCTGACTGTATTGGGATCCACAGCGGGTGTACAGACCCGGGAACTCAGCACAGGGATGGTGGGGGCCCCTCATAATGGGCACAGCAGGGTATAGACCCGGGAACTCAGCACAGGGATGGTGGGAACCCCTCATAATGGGCGCAGTGAGTGTACAGACCTGGGAACTCAGCACAGGGATGGTGGGAGCTCCTCATAATGGGCGCAGTGAGTGTACAGACCTGGGAACTCAGCACAGGGATGGTGGGAACCCCTCATAATGGGCGCAGTGAGTGTACAGACCCAGGAACTCAGAGGGTATATATAAAAGACGGGGTAACCAGGTGATTCTATAACTGCGATTTCTCTGCAGCTTGGCCAGTATCTGGAAAAGCACAAGAACTCCCTGCAGGTCATCACCATGATCAACTTCTCATTCCAGCTGTGTAAAGCTCTCGCCTACCTGGAAGGTGTAAACTGCGTCCACAGGTAACAAAAATAAAACCAGCCACTTACCTCCCTCTGGTGGCCGAGCTGTGAAATGCACATAAAGGGATTCATGTCTTAGTAGTAGGCGGATATTCCTATTATTGCAATGTTCATAGTTTTGTTATGTGACTTGTTTATTTATAGCATGTTGACGGGGGGGCGGAAACTCAGGATGTAAGCAGATTAAACTTCAGCTTTAAGGGTGATTCTGTATATTATATTATTATTATTTATTGC